GGAGGAGGCCTAATCTGTAGGATCTAATCGGTCTGGTGGAGGTAATTGGCAGCAGGCGGTCTCTCAAGTACCCAGGTCCGATACCAGATTGAAGACCCTAACATGAAAACTGCCCCTCCTAATTGTGGCATCTATTGAGAAAAGAGCATATTTTGAGCCAGAAGTGCATTCAGCACATCTTTTTTTCCTAACTGTCTCCCAGGCAAACCACAAAACATTCTGTTTGTTTAAGTCTGGTGTTGTTTCCCAGCCCAAAGCAGTTTGGAAAACCTCTTTCGTGCTTCATAAAGACTTTCTGCCTTCTCTGTTCAAATACATAAATCAGCCTCTTGTCTCCAAGCAGGCAGCCATTGGAAGAGGGGGGGGGGACGGGGGGGAGACGACAAAAGGCACAGAAAATAAACCAAAACCGCCTGGCAAAAGACTCCTCCACAGCGGAAGTCCAAGGCAGCAGAGCCAATGCAGTGGGGAACGAAAACCACAATGCACAACCCGTGTATTGTGACACAGGCGCCAACAGCAACCGGCCCTGGACCTTATTGGGGGGGGGGGGGTCAGGAAGACTGGCAGCCACAAGGGAGACGCAGGGCAAGGATGAGCTTGTAAAATAAAACCCAGGGTCGGATTCGTGAACGGTGCAAATCCACTAGGTGAACGGTTGAAGCCGCACGAAGCTTCACGTTCTCGGATTCGCTCCGTGGAATAATAAAATCTCCACGTTCGACGCAAGAAATCTTTCCAACGGTCACCCTGGGATTCTCCTGTAATCAAGCCTGGTTTTTTTCGCAGCAGAAAGGGGTCAGGAGAACCGTCCTGCTTCCTTCCTGGGATCCGCTTCGGAGACCCCTGCAATCCTAGAGCTGAGCTGGTCCTGGGAGCCCCCGAAAAAGCTGCATTTCATTCACAGCATCCCAGAAGAGAGAAGCCGTTATTTCCAACTTGTTTTCCAGAGGATTTGCTGGCTCTTTGCATTCCGTGACTCCTTGTCTCTCTCTCCCTAAAGAGAATTTAAACAAGGGGTGTGCTGAAATCCAGCAAGCGCACCCTCTTCCTTGCCCATCAGCGAGAATATCCATCTGGGGAGACACACGCCATTCCTGCTCCCCACGGAGCAGCCTTCCATTTCGTTCACTTGGCAGTAATGGATATTTCAAGTCGCAAGCAGGTTTTATTCTGGCACAGGAGGGGAGCAGGTCCCCGGGAGGTGAGGGGGGGGGGCAGGTGTTATAAAATGCAAGGGGCTCCATCTGGATTTAGAAACAGGCCTCAGCAGGAGGGGACACTGCAAGAAAGCCATCTGAGGAGCACAGCCTGGGATGTGCAAGGCCCAGGTGGGAAGCAGATGCCACACATGAAAACTGCACACGCAGCTGTAAAAGTGAGACAGAAGGGAACAACAACACAGAAATCGAATGAAAGTCAGCCGGCGCAGAGAGAGGCTGTAAAACAGCAGAGGCTGATCTGAATCTGGTTGAATGTCATGGGGGGGGGGGGGCACAGTCCCATCTTCTCCCCTCCCTTCCGATTTTTTTGAGCAGTGGGACTTGGCAACAGGTAAGGGGGCAGCAGAAAAGCCACCCTCTCCGTTCTGGTCCCTTTGCAAAACCAGCTGCATGTTCAAATTCTGCAGGGGAAATAAAACCGACGGTAAACAACACACAAATCGGCCTTCGGGAGGAGAAAGTCCAGCCTCTTTGGAGCCGGATTGAAGTCCGAGCGACTTTGCGGGAAACACCCACGGAGGTTTTCTCCAGAAATGGCTGGGCCTCTTTGCAAGGGTGGGTTTCCACTCAGCTTGAGCCCTCCCCTCCCTCCGCTCTCTCTGGCCTCCAATGTTGTTTTTTAGCTGTTGCTTTGAGTCCTCCAAACCCCAAAACCGCCCAGCCTCCTTCCCCACATCCTCCTCCTCCTTCCCAGGGAGGTTTCTTCCAGGCGCTGCTGCTCACCCACGAAAGGACAAAACCTTCAACTGCCCCTTCGCATTCTCTCTCCCCCACCAGCCCTCAACCAGCCTCACCCACTATAACTTCATTAGAAGGGACTAATTCCCAGAATTTCAAACAGAGGGGTGGGTGGGAGGGGAGGTGCATGTAAGTTCACACACACACATGGAAAAAAGCAACCTCAAATAAATCAGGCTCTGATGGGGGATTGGGGAGGGGACCCTCATCTGCTCCCATTAAAGGGCTTCCCAGCTGTGCAGCCCCCCCAAAAAAGACCATCCATCTTTCCAGGGTACCCGGATAAGCAACACAAGGGGGGGGGGGGCATGAGACAAATAGGATACCAGAAACATGTTGGGGCGCTTAAGCAGACACATTATGATATACATATTGCCAATTACTTCCCTACGACCAATTAGATCCCACAGATTAGGCCTCCTCCGGATACCATCAGCTAGTCAATGTCGACTGTCAACCCCCCCCCCCCGGGGAGGGCCTTCTCTGTGGCTGCTCCGGCCCTCTGGAACGATCTCCCCCGTGGTGATTCGG